TTATATGCATTTTTATTTCAATATACAGTAGTACTTTATTTGCATGCGGAAATCAGATGTTATGTAATTTATGTTCTTTGAATTGCACATCTCACATGATCTCTCCTGTTAGCCTCACTATATCTGATGCATTTCGGGCAACATGTTCGGTTTGTTGAATGCGATCGAAAGGAACTAAAGTCATTATCTACGCTGTGAAAAATCTCCGCAAGATGCTATTCGGCAGATAGTTTACGTTACTAACAGACTGTAAACCGATACTGACAGTTTTGGGGCCCAAAACGTGTCCCTGTTTGTGTGGAAAACCATCTACAACGATGGGTAACCACATTACTGGACGGAGATTTCAAGATAAATTGTCAACCAACGACTGACTTCGGACAGGCAGATGCCCACTCAAGATTAACTGGTTTCCAGACAAAACAAGAAGAGCTGTTTGTAGCTGCCGTAGAAACTGTGACCAAAGCTCGCAGTGTTGACAGACTAAAATTCAGGACAGCCAGTCACATACGAGACCATTAAAGAAACTAGCGAAAAGGACGATACGTTGAAGAGCGTTCGTATACTCAGTAAGTGGTTTTCACCTCAACTCCATGGAGAGATTGTACAATACTTTTGTCGGAGAGACTCCTTGACAAATGTAGTTCCGTGCATCATGTTTGGCCACCAGATCGTTATCACCAGAATTTCTGGGCATCAGTACCAAAAACATTTACATACCGGGCACCCAGTAGTAAGTAAAATGAAGTCACTGGCTCGGGGCTACACATAATGACCGTCAATGAACTGTGAAATAGAACAAAAGTGTCGCAGCAGTTGGTCCTGTCTAGAATCTGCAAAGAATCCAACTGAAGCAGGACCCCAAACAAGACCGAATTTAGACAGGCTTTGACAAAGAATACATGCTTATTTCGCTGGTCCAATACAAGACAGAAACTAATTGGTTGTTTTAGATACCTTCACGAAGTGGCTGGAAGTGTGCGAACATGACGACGAAGGATACAACAAGAAAATTGTCAAGATTGTTTTCGGGCGCCGGAGATCTTAGTTCATGTGATCCGCCTTTAAACGGTTGTGCTATGAAAATGGCATTACGCATCTACGATCTTCTGCGTACCATCATAGGTCGAATGAACAAGAAAGGTTCGTGGACAACGAAAAGGGATCAAATTAGAGGAGGTCCAGCATATGTGACCAGTAACTTCTCAATATCTTACAGAGTTACATCCCACCAGGCAGTGACCAAGGGAAAGTCCCCAGATGAGTGTATGTTTGAAAGCGAAGGTCGGACAGTCTTTAACAGTATGTTGCCACCCAGAAAGACAAATAAACCTACTAACGAGCATTGTACGGTCACTTTCAGCTTCCAGGTACGGTGAAGGGATACCTATCAAGTTAACATAGAATGGGAACCAGATATTGAACGTCGGATGGAAAATTATTGTTAGTTTGGAGAACTGTCAGGAAATTTAAAAGACGTCAATAAAATCCAAAGGGATGGTAGAAAAACGATTACACGAGGCGGATTCTTGTTTCAAATCCCCGTGGATCCTCCGTATCCACCAACTCGGTTAACTCGCCGGCCATTCGCTTTTCCTTCTCTTAATTTCGTAAACACCCCCGCCGCGAGGTCGTGACTGTTAACGCGTAGCCATGTGAGGATGTTTCGAGAGCTGAATTTCTCCACTCATGCCGTATTCGGGAATTTGTAGGCAAGTGAGGAAGAATATTCGAGCTGACAAGCAGAAATATGTGGGGTACAGAGGAAAAGGCGTGAAGGGAAAATATTAGAGAACTACATAACACGACGAAGAAACTAGCAGGGAAGTATTGGTAACCAGATAGACTGATCGAGAGTAAGGAAGGCTAGTCACACGCTGAGATTCAACAACAGAGAAACTCTTGGGTAGGACTTTTTGGAGAACTCTTGGATATATCAGCCCAGTGAGCGTAACAGATATCGATGCAACATACACAGAGACCTTCCTACAGCTGGAAACGTTCACGTACCTGGACAGCATACTCGACGAACATGGAGGATCAGATGCGGATGTAAAGGGGGAGGATTTACAAAGCGATGGCAACATTCCTACAATATACCCAAACTAGGGAATGTTTCAGGACTATATCAGGATTAGGACTAACCATTCCTTTCACCATTAACGAATAGCACCATACCGTAAATCATTCCAACCGATATTGTATTTCCTTCTTTCATTTAGATTCTAAAACTAAAATTTCTAAGCTAGTTACAGCAGTACGAAATTGAGGGAGGATAAATGGCATGAAGCTATAACAGCAGAGATTGAGTCAGGAAAAAGATGTGCGGTCACAACGCAAATATGGGAAACAACTAATCAAATTCCATATGGAAATCACTTATGTACGAACTCTAATAATTTCCTTTCTATTGTACGGCCAATTAATATTTATTGGATTGGTCTTGAATGTCCTTACTTTGCGTCGTGATGGCAGTTCCGAAAGTCCAAGTATTAGTGGTGAAACCACAGACTCAACAAGTATACTGAAAGCGACGACTTCCAGACATAAGACAATGGGTCAGTTGTCACTCATCGTCGTACTGACGACTAAGTTGAAAGACAACTCTAGCTGAATATAGTAATTCATACCAGTAGATATTTTTCCATGAAAAATCCATATATTTAAGAATCAATAACACAAATATTATAATTTTGGAGATTCTTAACTGAAAACTTTTTAAGGTTACTACCGGACTCTAGATTGGATAAAGGATGAGCAACCATACGTCGTACTAAATAAATTCACTAAAAATCGCTAACCATAGTGGAATGATCAAACCATTTCAACTCTCCCCAGAGAGTTGAAGGGTCTTTACATGGGACAGTTATGACCCCTAGTAATAAAAGCTGAGATACCCAATAACCCATGAGGTCGACACCCTTTATAACAATCAGAACAACAATAAACATAAAGATTTGGAGTGCTCAGACAATGTGAGACTGGTAAAATCACTGGAATGTCGACAGAAATAGGATGATACAACATGTTTGTGATAGAAATAAGTAAAATTCACTACTTGGAGTAACAGGAGGACTGTTATTATCTTCCGATCACGAAGAAAATCCCCCTCGCACACACAAGGAGTTGCACTGGTGCTGTACAAACAAGAATGGGAAGTGATTATTGGATTAACACCCTACAACTTCATACTACAAAACGATTACGAGTGTCATACAGTACATCGCACTCACTAATGTTGGTAACGAAAATGATAAAGATCAGTTTCATGAAGCTTTAGTCCATACTAGAGAAACACAATGAAGCATTAGACCATCGCAATAGGAGACACAGGGTGGAGGAAAGAAATGACCGTGGTGAAACTGTTAGGTCTATGTGCTTCCAACAAGACTGTGACGGACAGTGGCACTTTTCTCACAAAGCTATATGGGTTTTACCAAATCACACAACAGAAAAATAGGATAAGCAATTAACGGAATGGAACTCATTACCATACACGGATTCTTTTAAGTATGAAGGAAGTAGTTGATAACGTGGAAAGGAGAAGCTGGTAAAATCTCCGGCACAACGGAGTACCTCAGAAAAATTTCGTTATCATACAGAGCTCTTATGGATACTGAATAGCAAAAGTGTTGCAACAGTGCACCTCACGTTTAAATGAAGATTGGTGTCAGACAATACTGCCTAATCTTACCTCCTCATTCTTTTAGTCGTTGGTTGGGCCATGAAGACATCCACGTCTCAGAGGAAGTACGGAATACCGTGGACACTCTGGACGATTCGGACTTCAAAGGCACAAATGCAGACAGAAATAGCCAGTGTAGCAGTGCTCTTTGGAAAAACAGGCATTAAGATTAACACGAGCAGAAATAGGATCCTGAAGTAAAACACAGTGAACATCAACCGAATTTCACTTGACAGAGAGGCTCTGGAAGAGGTAAAAGCCTTTACTCACCTGGACAGTATCCTAAATAAAAAAGGAAGACATAATGTGGATATGAAGGCACAAATTGGTAAAGCAAGAGTGATATTCCTACAGTATAAAAATATCTGGAACTCAACAAAACTCAGAATTCGCAACACAAGCGTCAAGAGTTCTGTTACACGAGATTGAAACGTGGAGAAATACCGCAGTTTCCTTCAAAAATGTACAGGTATTTATAAACAGTTGTCTACGCAAGATACTTCAGAGATAATGGCCGGAGACCGTTAGTAATAACCAACTGCAGCAGAGAGCAGGAAATTAAGAAAAAACAATGGAAGTGTATGCACATTGCGAAAATCACCAAGCTGCATCACAAAGGACAACAAAACTTAGAGTCCCCCAAGTCAAAAGCAAGAGAAACAGAACAAAGAGAATATGGCGTCGAGATTCGGAGACTGAACTCGAAGTCATGATTATCACATGGTGACAACTGGAAGGAACAGCCCAGGACGCAGTCAATTGGATAACTGGTAGGCAGCCTATGTCTCTGTGAAGCTACAGGATAAGCAAAAGCAGAAATTTTTAGAAGTTTTTCATACAATGATCATTAATAAGCAAACATCTCCAACTTCATCTCTTATTTGTTCAACTACAAGAAATTTTTATCTCATTTTTGGCCGACAGAAGTGTTCGAGTTAAAAGAGGAAAAGTATACATCTACATAAAAGTCCATGAGAATAATGAAAAAGGAGAAAAAAGGCAGACATAAATTAAGAATAGAGTAAGATAGATGATATAACGACAAGTCGATCAACTGGATAGCAGAAAATATAACACTATGATGACAGTCATATTAAAGATATAGAGAATGTGGAGAAGACAATGTGAAAATAACTGGCTTTGAAGGAAGAACAAGTCGAGGATAGATTCAATGCGAAAAATTCAACCCTAATTAGACTAATTAGCAGTTTTGTCTGGTAAAAATAGACTAAAAATATACAACCCTGAAAAGTTTATTGACAAAACTTGGATTGAGCTCCAGGGATAAATCTCACGGTACATTACGATTAGGATTTTATGAGTGCTTTTGATAAAGTAGAAATCTGCAAATTTGTTCATACACAGTAAATCGACACGAGATAGAAACAAAAGACTTGAGTAAAGTGGGTCTTAATCCTTTAAAAAATGCTGAAGCTCCTTCCATTTGCCATATTTCAAGTAAGCACCTACAAAGACCATCATTTCTGATAGGAATTCGACCGAATTGAGCACGCGCTTCTTCAAAACCCTAGGGACAATTAAAATAAACAAATGGTACTGTAAACTTAAAATAACAGTTTGGTAGCCATATAAAAAACAACCAACAAATTAAATAACTTACATACGCCTTTAATTCCCTCTGTAGCTCTTCTAGAGTTACTCCCGATCCCAAGCCCGGATAAAAAAGGAGGGTTGGGCATGGGGTTAGCGACCACATCCCGTTGAAAACTAACTCGGTAAAAAATCTCTAGCCAGAAAAAATAATTCAAACCATTTAAACTCTGACCCATGAGTTAGGTCTTCATTTAGAAGAACTATGATGCCTCATGGTGAAAGCCGAGTTCCTTCAGAATTCACGAGGCCGATGCTCCTTCTAACAACTAGAGCAACAATTTTCATAAGTAAATGGAACGTCCGTACAATGTGGGAGACCAGGAAGACCAGTCAAATAGCAACGGGAATCAGGAGATACAATGTGGCAGTACTGGGAATCGGCGAAACCCATTGGACCCAAGCTGGACAACAAAGGCTAAATACAGGAGAGATGCTGCTGTACTCCGGTCACGAAGAGGAAATTGCTCCACACACTCAGGGAGTTGCCCTAATGATTCAAATCACTACCTAGTTGTAGCCTATTTACAAATGTAGCTAAGGAAGAACTGAACAACTGGACAAACAACACTACAAAGGTTCAATTCAGCTTTCCTTCGAGATACTAACAAATTCAACGAATTCATGATAGCAGTCAGTCAGCTACAACGTAGGACCAGGCACATATGTGCATCGGTCCAAGTTGCCATACCTCATTAACACAACAAGATGAACACCGGATTCATAAAAGTAGTTAATTCAGAGGTGGTAATATGTAAAAGACAGATTGCAATAAGGATATAGTACAGGAAGAAAGAATTAGTTCGTAGAAAGAAAGATATGAAGCAATTTTAATCTCTTACTTTAAGGGAAGATAGAGAGTGTATACACCGACGCCATTGTGATCGACTCTGAGCCATGTCACCAAGAGTCTCCAACCATTGGTTACGATAGTCACGCGGACCCCAACCAAGTTGTCTGCATCTACCAACATGGCTCAGACTAGAAGTTAGTGACTTCAAGCACTGATGCCACGTTTTGATTTGGCCGCCCCTAACTTTCTACCAACCATCCCCAACACCGGTTAGCATTGCACGTCGTGGTAATAGGTGTTCGGGCATACGTAACACGTGGCCCAACCATCTCAGTCGATGAAGATTCACAACCTCATCAACTGATTTACCATCATTACCTAATGCCCTGAGTCTAACCTCACTATTACTTACCCGGTGATCCCAGCAGACGCCAGCAATATTTCTAAGTCATCTGTGGTCAAATACTAGTAGCTTACGGGTGTCTGCTACTCTTAATGGCCATGTTTCGCTGCCGTAAATTAAAACAGAACAGACTGCCGCGCAGTATACTCGTCCTTTTATTAACAGACGGATATCTCGCCTTCACCATAGGTGACGTAAGTTGGCAAAAGCCAAGCGAGCTTTTCGAATCCGTGCTGAGATTTCGTCAGACTCCAACCCATTAGGGCTGATCAGACTTCCAAGATAAGTGAAGTTGTCAACGCGTTCAACTACTTCACTCCCTATCCTTAGTTCAGGTGTTGAAGCAGACCAGTCCTGAAGCAACAACTTGCATCTAGAGGGAGAGAAGCGCATCCCAAACATCCTGGCATTGTTGCTCAGTGCTACCAGAAGACTGCATTTTGTCAGCGTCTTCACCAAACAGGACTATGTCATCTGCGTGTTCTAAGTCGATAAGTGGACCTCCTGGATGGAGATCAATACCCGAGAATTCAGTAGACGAGAATGTTATTTCCATCAATAGGTCTATGATGAAGTTAAACAAAAATGGAGAAAGTGGACAGCATTGACGGATATCACTTGAGGTTGCAAAAGCAGATGACAGTTCGCCATAAGCTCTCACTCGACTGGTAGTGTTCGAGTAAAGAGCCTTCACAAGGTTTATGTACTTCTGAGGTACGCCTTTCAATGACAGACACTGGCACAGAATCTCGCGGTCTACCGAGTCAAATGCTGCTTCTAAGTCTAGAAAGACCACCATTGTCGGACGCCGGTAAGTATGCCTATGTTCTAGAACCTGACGAATGGTGAATATCTGGTCGATGCAGCCACTTACACTTGACTTATTAGTTCCAGTTTCTTTTATCAGTCTGTAAAACTGTCTTGTATTCCCTATAGCCGCTGCCTTTTCCATCTCTTTTGCTTTCGTTGCCCACCACTGCTCACGGTCGTTCCTTAGACTTTTGCTTAACCTAGATCTGATTTGTTGTCGCTCTTTATCGGGTTCAGAGCCTGATGGGATGAGTTTACGAGAATCCATCAGTGCAATAGACCTTGAATAAGTCCACTGGTTCTTTGTAACTCTGTGGTTTAAATCACTGATAGATGTCACTGCTGTTTCCACAGCTGTTGGTATAGCTTTCCAAGCAACATCTGGGTCAACCTCGTTTTCAGAACTACCTAATTGTGACCTCAGTTGTTCCTGGAACCTACTTTGGGTTTTCTCGCCACTCAATTCAGTTCTAATGGGTCTTTTTACTGTGGCTTTTTTGCGTCCAGTGAGGGGCAAGCAGATGCGTGCCCGTATTAGGGCATGGTCGGAGTCCAAGCAGGTACTCCAGAATGAGCGACAATCTTCTACCGACCCTCTCCAACGATGACTGATGGCAATATAGTCTATTTGAGTCCATCGTTGGTTTGGTGTAGGGGGTCGCCATGTTAGACGATGTCTCTCCTTATGCTTAAAATTTGTGTTTGCTAAAAATAAATGATTGTCTGAGCACAGTTGCAGCAGACGATCACCATTATCTGTTCGCTGTGCCGGAATACTAAACTACCCACCTAAATACCTTTCTGTTTAGTTTAACGACGTGTGTTCCTATCCTTCCGAGTTCTTACGGAGCCTTTTAGCCCAACAGCACATAAACGACTGTTAACGGGGATCCACTCTAACAGTGCTTGTCCCGCCCTCATGCCTAGTGCTATCCCTACTCCTGCCAGTTCACGAGAGCTGGCCATCGCGTCACCAGATACACGAAGGGTGTATCTCGTTGTCTCTCCATTTTGCCGAGGTGAGGTCAAGTGAATGACCACACTGGGATCCTGTATGCGTGTTTCAGAGACACAGCATACATCAATGATACGAGATTCTAGGGTTCTAGCCAAGGAAGACTGTTGACCGATTTGACATACGGTGCGTACGTTGAAGGCTCCAATGTTAGTTTGGAGAGAGGTTTCAGTAGAACTGGGACAGTGTTTTGAGCACTAGAATCGTTGGTTATGGTGACAATTGAGGGGGAAGCCGAAAAAGGAAGTTTAGAGGTGAAAGTCGATGTAGGAGGAATAATAGGAAGTGAAGACGGAGGTTGATTATGAATATAATGGTCTTGAATACTGTTAGAGGTATGAGGGCGGTTATCACTTCTCGATTGCCCACACCGTGGAAGGGTATTTCTCGAGGAACCTGGAAAGGAAATTGGATTAGAGGTGGTCTTGACGACCTGGGAGCGTGACCGCAGTGCCCAAGGGACAACTGCTTGAGGCCGGTCGCGCACGGCCTTTTTATGGAAGGTTTTTGACGTGTTAGCTCCGTACTTTTTGGGACCTTACCGCCGGAGACGGATATCCGTGGGATAAGGCGAGGTGAGCATTTTTAGGGTCGACCTTTTCTAACCCCACCCATCCTTGTGGGAAGGCAGCATCGCTGTCATGCTGGTTGTCTGAAGGAAACACCTTAATGCTGTCACACCTCTGTACAGTCAGCAGTACGACTTCGCCTTCGGACCTTGGGTTTGTTTCTTCTAGTCTTACCGCTCTTCAACCGACCTGTCTGACATGGTAGGACGGTTGCTTCATCACGATAGGAAGCCCGACCACCACGTCAAGGTATCAACAACGGTCGGGATTCATGATAGCTCTCAACAGCAGGTTCCATGACTTACAAGATCTACCGAAGGAAGAAAGAACTACTATGGAGGACAACTGGAAAAGTATCAAAGAAACATTAACTTACTTTCTCGTCGGGCTAGTCACATGTTATTGATCTGAATTGTATTGAAGTCTTGTAAAACAGACACTAGAAGGCTATCTAGTGTAGATATTCGTCTAAGGTAAATTAACGTTCCATTCGAGTAGACAGAGAAACGGAGCGTTATAAGAGTTCAGAAATTATTCTAGTGAATCTGACAACCTGGAAGAGGTTGGAGTATGAAGTGCTTACAGAGGTGTGTAAATAGTTCAACCTTCGACATCTAAACGGATATATTTTCTTATGGTATAAAGTGGACATTCAGTGCAGTAGAATAAAACATGATAATGGAAATATTGCACGCCAAGAAAACTAAATAGATGAATTTATTAAACCTTCGTTTGTAAGCGACAGCGTGATAAATTAGTAAAAAGCTATCATGAATAACCAAACAAACCTTTACTTATAATGATTAGAGCAATGTAAATAATATGACTTTTCATTACGAAAATAATTGCCTCATGAAGAATATTTGATATAATCAAGTACACATTGAACCTAAATGTAAGCTTCGCATTACCGTTACACCAAATTATAACTTTTCAAATGAGCATTATTTATTTTCGCTCTATAAATAACCTAGATACATTTGATGGATGAAACTATATGAATACAACTTTACTTTACGAAGTGAGATTGGACCAATTCAACAACAACAACAATAATATTTGGAAATATTGGTACCAAAAATTAAATACAAAACCTTACCCGAACTTGCATACGTTTTTTCACCATATCAAGTGGATATATTACACATTTGGATCCAATCCCTGCAAGTCCACCAGAGATCAAACTTTGAACAGGACCTTAGAGTTGGGAGACATAAGGTTTGTAAAACATTTAACTAAGCTGATGATGACAGAAGAACAAGAATGAGATCGCTATAAAGATATAATGAAGTGACTCAGTAGCAGAAAAGCTATAGGAGTACTTTTTTTAAAACTTATCTGAGTTAAAATAAACTAGAACGAAGGGAATTTTCAACCTAATTAATCAGAATATAAGTGAGTTAAAATGTGTACATACACTAATTACAGACTACTAGAAACAGCACTATCTGTTTGCTGAATTGTCAGCCTGGAAATACGGGATGTTAAATACAATGAAATTCTGGTTGTAAACCTTCATTGTACATAGAAACGAACAGAGTACCTAACATCGATGTTATAGTCTATTTTTAAATTTCTAGTCGTTAATAGGAGAGATCTGGTTAAAATGAAAGATGAAATTCCACAGAAGACGCAGTGATTACGTTCGTACGATAAAGCAGGAGAAATGTGAGGGCGAAGATAAGAATGTCACGAGCCAAAATGAATGAATACAGCAGTATACACGACTACCAATGAAATGTAAATTCATTTAAAAATTAACATGTTATTAATTTTCAAAATTTCTGTAGACTTCTAGGTTGCAATTAAGAACATGTACTGATCTGGCCCATAAATGGTGGAAGTACGACAATTGTATCTGATCAGTGTATTCCTTTATATATTCAGTTTAGTGTTGTTTCTCACTTCTCACCCCCCCATATCTGATTTATTTATTTATTTGAAGACATAAATATTGGTACAAGAGGCCACAAAAATATATCTGTGCCACACAAAATAATGAGAATTCGAAGAGAAGGAAAAAAAGGCAAGGAGCGTAAAAAAGGAAAATAATGAACAGATTAGTGCAAGGTAGTGTAATAATAATAATAATCCCGACCGAAGCTGCTACCTTGACGCGGTGGTCGGGTTTGCCTATCGTGATGACCCAACCGAGCTATATTGGCTGGAACATATGTTCCTGCAGGTTCTACCATCCCAGGCAGGTCGATTGGAGAACGGTAAGACTAAAAGCAGCAACTCAAGGTCTGAGGGCGAAGTCGTACTGCTGACTGTAGAGGGGTGTGACAGCAGTAAGGTGTTTCCTTCAGACAACCAGCATGACAGCGATGCTGCCTTCCCACAAGGATGGGTGGGGTTAGAAAAGGTCGACCCTAAAAATGCTCACCTCGCCTTATCCCACGGATATCCGTCTCCGGCGGTAAGGTCCCAAAAAGTACGGAGCTAACACGTCAAAAACCTTCCATAAAAAGGCCGTGCGCGACCGGCCTCAAGCAGTTGTCCCTTGGGCACTGCGGTCACGCTCCCAGGTCGTCAAGACCACCTCTAATCCAATTTCCTTTCCAGGTTCCTCGAGAAATACCCTTCCACGGTGTGGGCAATCGAGAAGTGATAACCGCCCTCATACCCGTAACAGCACACGAGACCAAGTTGGTCACATTCAAATCCTTCCTACACCTCCTAATACCTCTCTTATCTCCCCGACTAACCCTCCTCACATCTCTTTATCACCTATCACCGCTAGGGCAAACGGTTCGAGTACGTGGACCGTTATTCCTGGTCTCCTGAAACCACGCTCTAAACTATACGTAGGAGCTTTTAACGTCCAAACACTGTGCCAAATAGGACAACAGGCTTCCTTAGCTAGGACTTTAGAATCCCGCGCCATCGATGTGTGCTGCGTCTCCGAAACGCGCATACAGGATCCGAGTAGTGTCATGCATTTGGCATCACCATATCAAAACAAAGAACCAACTCGATTCACACTTCGTGTATCTGGAAGTCCTGATTCTGCTTCCTGTGGCCTCGCCGGCGTAGGTATAGTATTGAGTCCTAGGGCAGAACTAGCTCCCTTAGAGTGGATCCCAGTTGACAGTCGTTTGTGCGCTGTCCGACTGAACGGAACAGTAAGGATCCGAAAAGATAGGGACACTCGTCGTTGCCTGTTCGTCGTCTCTGCCTATTCTCCCACTGACTGCAGCTCAGATGATGTCAAAGATGAGTTTCACAGGAAGCTCTCCGACCTTCTCCTAAAAGCTAGGCGCTCGGATGTAGTAATAGTGGCCGGTGACGTTAATGCTCAATTAGGTCAACTAAGCGATAGGGAAAGACACCTGGGTGGATCTTATGGTGTCGTGGCTCAAAGAACAGATAATGGCGACCGTCTGTTGCAGCTATGCTCAGATAACCGCCTCTTTCTTGCAAAAACAAACTTTAAGCATAAGGAAAAACATGTTTTGACACGGCAACCCCCCAATTCATGCCAACGTTTGACCGAACTAAATCACATCGCTACCAGCCACCGATGGAGGGGCCCGACAGAAAACTGTCGCTCATTCTGGAGCACATGCTTAGATTCAGATCATGCTCTAGTACGAGCGCGTATTTGCCTGCGTCTTACTGGACGTAGGAAGGACGCTGCAAGTAAACCTCTTAGGGCCCTACTTAATGATAGTCAAGCTAAGAGTATATTTCAGGAACAACTAGGAAAACAGTTAGGCAGCCATGTAAGTGATGCCCACCCCGAGGCAGCATGGAATGATATCCGAAAAGCTGTGGAAACAGCAATGATATCTGCTAGTACGGTAACCCGTAAGGTTAAGGAGCAACACTGGATCTCAGCAGCATCTATCGCACTGATAGATGCTCGGAAACTCATTCCACCTGGCTCTGAACATAATGAAGAGCGGAGTCAGCTTAAGCGCAAGCTGACAAGAAGTCTACGGAATGATCGTGAACAGTGGTGGGTAGCGAAAGCAAGAGAGATGGAAAAGGCAGCGGCAATAGGTAATAGCAGACAATTGTTCAGACTTGTTAGGTAAACCGGTATTAGGAACCCGACTGTTAGCGAAACACTCTCAGAGAAAGATGGACATATTATACATTCTCAATCCAGGAGATCAAATCGATGGGCAGAACACTTTAGGGATCAGTTCAACTGGCCTTCAGCCACACTTCGGTTTCCCACGATCTCTAGTCAACCTGAATGGCAATTTAGTGCAGGTCTTCCGTCTCTTTACGAAGTTGAAAAAGCCATGAAAAATCTGAAGCGAGGGAAAGCAGCAGGCCTTGAAAGGTTTAACCCTGAGATTTTTAAGGATGGTGGTCCAGTATTAGCAGTGAGATTAACTGAGGTCTTAGGTAGAATTTGGGAACTGGACGTAATCCCATCTGACTGGTCTCAATCACTGATTGTGCCAGTCTATAAGATAGAACAAAAGTCCTTTTGTGACAATCACAGAGGAATCAGTTTGACAAAAATAGTGTCTAAACTATTAGCCTCAACAATACTTCGACGCCTAACTAAAGCTCGTGAAGAACAGACCAGAGAAAACCAGACTGGTTTCCGACCTGGACTTGGGTATATAGACCAGATATTCACACTACGTCAGGTTATAGAACACAGACACACATTCAGACACCCCACAATCGTAGTATTTCTTGACCTTAAGGCAGCATTCGACTCTGTTGATCATGAGGTTCTATGGCAGTGTTTGTCACTGAAAGGAGTATATTAACCTTATAAAAGCTCTCTCTACTCGAACACAACTGGTAGAGTGAGAGCTTATGGCGAACTGCCATCAGAATTGATTACCTTAAGTGGTGTTCGTCAGTGTTGTCCACTCTCTCCATTCTTGTTCAACTTCGCCATCGACATGCTTTTAGAGATGAAACTTTTCTCATCTAGATTTCCAGGGGTTGAACTTTTACCGGGAGGTTCACTTGTTGACTTAGAATATGCCGATGACATAGTTCTATTTGGTGAAGATGCTGACAAAATACAGAGTCTTCTGACCACTATAAGCAACAATACAAGCATGTTCGGGATGTGATTCTCCCTCTCGAAATGCAAAATGTTGCTTCAGGATTGGGTTGCATTGACACCCGAACTAATGATAGGGAGTGAAATAATTGAGCGTGTCGATCGCTTCGCTTATATTGGAAGTCTCATCAGCCCTTGTGGTCTGGTGTGTGACGAAATCTCAGCACGGATACAGAAGGCTCGACTAGCTTTTACCAACTTGCGTCATTTATGGCGTAGGCGAGATATCCGTCTATCAACCAAAGGACGTGTTTACTGCGCAGCAGTTCGTTCCTTCCTACTTCATGGCAGTGAAACATGGCCGGTAAGAGTAGAGGATATTCGTAGGTCACTAGTATTTGATCATAGGTGTCTTCGAAATATTGCTCGTATATCCTGGGACCATCGAGTAAGTAATGCAGTTGTTAGGAAACGGGTACTAGGTAAGGATGGCAAATCAATTGATGAATTAGTGAAACTTCATCAGTTGAGATGGCTGGGACATGTGTTAAGTATGCCCAACCACCGACTGCCTCGATGTGCGATGTTTTGTCGTATAGGAGTAGATTGGAAGAAAGCTAGGGGCGGCCAGACCAAAACATGGCACAAGTCCATGAAGTCACTGACAAGTGGACTGAGTCATGTTGGTAGGTGTAGACTACCTAGTTGGGGACCACGAGATGATAGCGACCGATGGTTAGAGACCCTGAATGACATGGCTCAAAATCGTTTGCAGTGGTGAGTGCAGGTGCATTCACTCTTTGTGTTCTCCCAAATTCTAATCTTCTGAATTCTTCATGTTCCTTTCTTTTTTCTCTTTTCAAATTTATTTCACTGGATTATACTCCTTGAATAACATCTTGAAACCCTAATTTTTCTGATTACAGCTTATAATTTTACTACATCTAGCACTACGGGATTTGAATCAACCACTACATCTCTGTGCTATTGTGTTATGGCAACTCGAACTGATGTACGTACGTAGTAAGTTCTACGTTGTTACTGACTGACTGACTGAATAATAATACTGGGGGAAATGGAAAGGTACAATCCGAAGAAATCCTTCAGTTAAGGAAGAAACAACCGATTTTCACGAAGAAAGTAAAAGAAGGTTACAGCAGGATCGCCACTAGCTTCCATTCTGAGCCATATCTGATAACGTCTCTAGCCACTGTGTAGCACCATCTCTAGGACCCCAACCAGAGAGTCGTGAAGGACCGACAGAATCCAGCCCTTTGCAGCTTTCTTTCATATCACGACACCATGTCATATACTGACCACCTCTCCGCTTCCTCCAACCAGTTCCACAGTCGGCAAACAATGCACGACGTAGAATTCTCTGGGACGACATTCGTAGAACATGTCCAAGCCACCGAAGTCGGTGTTTCAAGATGCATTATTATCTATGGGTCTGAACACACGATGCCGAACCTCTGCATTACTAACATGGTGTTGCCAGTGAGTATCAGCAATCCTTCAGAGACAACGATGATCGAACACAGAGAGTCGTCTAACGTCCTCAACTCGGAGAGGCCAGGTTTCACAAGCATAGAGCGAAACTGCTCTCACCAACGCGTTGTAGATCCAACCTTTTACAGCCAAACTAACATCACGAAGGCGCCAAAGATGGCTCAGATTGGCATAAGCCGCTCTGGTTTTCACTATACGTGCATTGATCTCATCACTCACACCCCCACCAGCACTTATGCAGCCACCTAGATACATGGACTTCTCGACTACTTCTATCTGTTCACCATCCAGAGCGAGTACAGGATTAAAATCCTGCCAGTCTTGTAGAAGTACTTTGCACTTTGAAGGTGCAAAGCACATACTGTACCTACGGACACTGATTGCCAACTGATTAAGTGCGGATTGCATGCCTTGGGCATTATCGCACAGTAAGACAGTATCATCCGCATACTCAAGGTCGAGAAGTCTTTCTCCGGGCAACAGATCCACACTGCCATTACTTACATCCATCAGAGCTGTTTGTAGAATGTCATCGATGGCAAAGTTGGAGAGGAATGGTGAGATTGTGCAACCCTGCCTAACCCCACTGCTTGAATAGAACAATTGAGAGAGGTGATGGCATGCCTTTACTCTGCCTGAAGCGTTTGTATATGGGGCCTTTAGGATGTTAATAAACTTCTCAGGCACACCCTTCTTCAATAGACAATCCCAGAGAACAGTCCTGTCCAACAAATCGAAGGCAGCCCTGATGTCAAGAAACACTACGATTGTTGGCCTTTGAAAAGTATGGCGGTGTTCTAACATTTGGGGGAGGGTGAAGATATGATAAATGCATCCTCGACCGGAACGAATACCAGCCTGCTCCTCGAGAGTCAATCTTTCTCGAGTTTTGAACAACCTACGAAGTATGACGGAAGCCAAAAGAAACCCAGTGTTTATAAGCGGGACGTTTCGCGAACCCACAACTGACTGTACCCGCCATTCTCATGGCGTCATGAAGTTGCAGCCAATGCTCATCTTTCCTTTTCGGTGGAATGGTGGCTAGCCTAGAAGCTAGCCCGGTTCGGTACTTACTTGCGACAGAAGTTGCAACCAGCTTGCTAACATCAATCCCTTGGTGGCAGTCACTCCGTTGGCCACTGAAAAGTAAGGTAAGATTGGCGCAGACCAAGGCATGATCAGAGTCCAGATAGGTACTCCAAAAGGAGCGGCAGTCTTGTAAACAACCACGCCAGCAGTAGCTGATCGCGATGTGATCAATCTGAGTCCAGGCTTGAGATGCAGAGGGAGGACGTCAGGTGGCACATCGGCGATGACTGTGCCGGAAGTTAGTGCTAGCAAGAAACAGGTTGTGGTCTGTGCACAGTTGCGGTAGACGGTCACCGATATCTGTCCTGCGACCAACAAGTCCCCATCGGCCGCCTAAACGACTCTCTTCTGCGCCTAGACGCCTGACCTGAGCATTCATGTCTACGGTAAGTACTAAAATATCTGTCGAACACACTTTCTGGAGAAGAACAGTTAACTGGTGGTAGAATTCATCCTTGATTGCATCCGGGCTGCAATCTGTCGGGGCATAGGCGGAGATGACGAAAAGACATCGTTTCTCACGCCGATTTATTCTCACTTTGATGGAACTTTATAATCTAACAGCACATAACCGACTGTTAATAGGGATCCAACCGATTAGTGCTGCCTCAGCTCTAGCGCTTAGTGCAACACCAACGCCGGCAACACCAGACGAAAATGCCACATGGTTCCCGGATAAATGCACGTAAAACAAGCCCTTCGAAGCGATAGATGGAGAGCGAATTTGTAGTACTTCACCAGTCTTGAATACGGGTCTCGGATTTGTTCTTTATGGATAATATTTCTCACGTTTAGTTTTTCTTACAGTGGTTGATTTCGTTTCGACTCATCTCATGTTGCTATTTTCCTTTCTCCTTGCGTTGATGTGAGTTGTGAAAACCTGGACTGACACATTTGTATAATGCTCTATGCGGATAACTGATTGATAGTGTTGATATATTTAATAAGTTCTATTCCACAAAGGTCTGGTTGTGGGAAAAAAAAATAAATTGAATTAACTCATTCAGCGGGTCCTTTCAGTGTAAGGGGTAATGATAATACCCGATTAATGGAAATGAGTTATGTTTTGAAATATGGATACTTGAGCCAAATCAATGGACGGAAAAATAACAGATTTCATTAATTAACAAAACATACCAACTGAACGGTTACCGCTATGGAATTGTGGTGACTTATCAATGAGATTGGGATGCAAATAATACTTTCCTTGATTAATCATTTGGTTTAATGAATGATAAATGGCAAATTGAATCCCTGTTTGTGGTGCTATAAGAAGAAGAGATGGTACAAGCCCACGGAAAAACCCTTGAGCACCTTCACGAGTTATGATGGAAACAGCTGCATGTGACATGCTCCTAAAAAGTAAGAATACAATATTTGATTAATTGGTCATCAGGATTTCAGTGTATTCTGCAGTAGGAGTAGAATATCTGTTTAGCTTTTAAATGAACTTACTTCAAAGTTGTTCAGTGATCTCTGAAAAGTCGATTACCCGTTGAAATATCGGTCAAGTAATCATAAAAAACATCATTAGAACTCATACTGTGAGCACTTATTTACATGATCTTTCTATACACAGGCAATCTGTACATTATTACGGGGATTATAAAATTGATTCTCAGATAACCAGTACAGGTTATTCAAAGGATATAATCCAGTGAAATAAATTTGAAAAGAGAAAAAAGAAAGGAACATGAAGAATTCAGAAGATTAGAATTTGGGAGAACACAAAGAGTGAATGCACCTGCACTCACCACTGCAAACGATTTTGAGCCATGTCATTCAGGGTCTCTAACCATCGGTCGCTATCATCTCGTGGTCCCCAACTAGGTAGTCTACACCTACCAACATGACTCAGTCCACTTGTCAGTGACTTCATGGACTTGTGCCATGTTTTGGTCTGGCCGCCCCTAGCTTTCTTCCAATCTACTCCTATACGACAAAACATCGCACATCGAGGCAGTCGGTGGTTGGGCATACTTAACACATGTCCCAGCCATCTCAACTGATGAAGTTTCACTAATTCATCAATTGATTTGCCATCCTTACCTAGTACCCGTTTCCTAACAACTGCATTACTTACTCGATGGTCCCAGGATATACGAGCAATATTTCGAAGACACCTATGATCAAATACTAGTGACCTACGAATATCCTCTACTCTTACCGGCCATGTTTCACTGCCATGAAGTAGGAAGGAACGAACTGCTGCGCAGTAAACACGTCCTTTGGTTGATAGACGGATATCTCGCCTACGCCATAAATGACGCAAGTTGGTAAAAGCTAGTCGAGCCTTCTGTATCCGTGCTGAGATTTCGTCACACACCAGACCACAAGGGCTGATGAGACTTCCAATATAAGCGAAGCGATCGACACGCTCAATTATTTCACTCCCTATCATTAGTTCGGGTGTCAATGCAACCCAATCCTGAAGCAACATTTTGCATTTCGAGAGGGAGAATCACATCCCGAACATGCTTGTATTGTTGCTTATAGTGGTCAGAAGACTCTGTATTTTGTCAGCATCTTCACCAAATAGAACTATGTCATCGGCATATTCTAAGTCAACAAGTGAACCTCCCGGTAAAAGTTCAACCCCTGGAAATCTAGATGAGAAAAGTTTCATCTCTAAAAGCATGTCGATGGCGAAGTTGAACAAGAATGGAGAGAGTGGACAACACTGACGAACACCACTTAAGGTAATCAATTCTGATGGCAGTTCGCCATAAGCTCTCACTCTACCAGTTGTGTTCGAGTAGAGAGAGCTTTTATAAGGTTAATATACTCCTTTCAGTGACAAACACTGCCATAGAACCTCATGATCAACAGAGTCGAATGCTGCCTTAAGGTCAAGAAATACTACGATTGTGGGGTGTCTGAATGTGTGTCTGTGTTCTATAACCTGACGTAGTGTGAATATCTGGTCTATATACCCAAGTCCAGGTCGGAAACCAGTCTGGTTTTCTCTGGTCTGTTCTTCACGAGCTTTAGTTAGGCGTCGAAGTATTGTATTAAGGATGATTAGTGCGTAGGATAGCTGAGAAACAAGCTAAAAGCAAAAATCTATTTAAACGAATCATATGAGAAATATTGTACCTGCGTGGCATGACGTCTTGAGAAACCGTCAATAAATATAATAGATTAACGACAAATATAGCATATCATTCAATGAATGTTGTTGAGAAGTTTAACATCAAATATTCAAACGTAATTTAAGTGAATCGGACGTGTTGAACGAAGGGTAGTAACCACCGAAAAAATAAAGTATGCTCCTCAGCAGACAGCTGTCTAGATTTATCGAGGAAAAGGGTATTAAAAATGAGGTAGTTAGTGAAACTATCAGGGAAAAAGACGGGACTATTATTTACTCACAATCCAGGAGATCAGATCAATGAGCAGTACACTTTAGGGAACAGTTCAACTGACCTAAAGTCACGCTTCAGTTATCCATTATCTTCAAGCAACCTGAAAATGGTGGTCCGGTGTCAAAAGTCAGATTACATGAAATCTTAGTTAGAATCTGGCAACTGGACGCAATCCTATACAACTGGTCTCGATCGCTGATCGTCCCAGTCTAAAATTCTTTAATGATAATCACAGGGGACGGATTCAGAAAATTTGATTGTTTTTCGTCAGCTTGCATTACAAGTCGCGTAGGTGAGACATCCGTCTTCCAACTAAAGGGAAAGTTTACTGTGCAGCAGTTCGCTTCGTTCTACTGTGCGGGTGTGAAATATGAACATCAAGAATAGAGAATATTCATAGGTTATTGGTATTCGGTCATAGGTGTCTTTGAAGCGTTCCCTGCGTATTTTGGGACCATGGAATAAGAAATGTCTGGGTAAGTAATAGGGTATTAGGCAAGAATGGTAAATCGATTGATGAAATAGTAAATCCTCATTAACTGAGGTGTTTGAGACATGTGTTACGAAAGCCCAACTCCCGCCAACCTTGACAGGCGATGTTGTGGTGTAGTATCAGAAGTAGTTTGGAAGAGCTTGGAACGACCACGCCGAAACATTGCATCAGTCCACGAAGGCATTTACAATTGGGCTGGGCTATGTTAATGGGTGTAAACTACATAGTTGGGGTCTGCGTGATTATTGTTACCAATGGCTAGAGGCTTTGAATGACTGCTCAAAATCATATGCAATGGCGAAGGTGCATTCATTCTACGTCTTTCCCCAAATTATGAGATCCTAAATAGCTAATCGTTCTGGTTTATGAAACTGGACAAAATCTTATTGCTATAACCTGATCAATATAGTGTCCAAAGTATTAGTTTATCAAACGACACAATTCTCTCAGAGAAAAATGCTGCATAAACTAAGATTTCTAGATGTTTTCAGCAATAATCTTATGTTTGAAAGTGTTTCTCCTAGCCGAGAATCAAAATATTTCAAAGATGGTTTGTATCTATGGCACGCTGCGTCCTTATAAAGTGAAAATGGGCCAATGAACAATTCCGCTAAGTCCTATGTTGTTAAAGACTGCTGAACAGAAATCCAAACGACTTACTTACACCTGCTGCCACTCACGGAGGAGCATAAGTTGCCCACCACCACTCTCCATCCAACTCTGTCCTGGGCAATCTTTTCCAGTTCTTTCCACTTCCTATTCACCCTTTTCATGTCTGATTCCAATTCCAGTCGTAGTGTGTTCTCCGGCATTCCACTTTCACGTTTACCTTGAGGATTTTAAGTTAGAGCTTGCCTCGTGATTCAGTTTGGTGATTTCCGTAATGTATGTCCTATCAACTCCAACTGTCTTTTTCTGATTTCCTCTTCAGACGGAACCTGGTTTGTTCTCTCTCACAGTAGGTTGTTGCTGATGGTTTTCGGTCAACGGATATTCAGTATCTTACGTAGACAATTGTTCATAAATACTTGTACCGTTTTGATGATGTTTGTAGTAGTTCTCCAAGTTTCAGCTCCGTACAGTAGAACTGTCTTGACGTTCGTATTGAAGATTCTCACTTTCATATTGGTTGACAGTTGTTTTGAGTTCCATATGTTCTTCAATTGTAGGAATGCTGTCCTTGCTTTGCCGATCCTCGCCTTTACGTCTGCATCTGAACCTCTACGTGAACGTTTCCAGCTCTTCCAGAGTTTCTCCATCAAGTGTGATTGGGTTAGTGTTCTGCGTGTTGTATTTGAGGATCTTGCTTTTTCATTTGTGTATGTTAAGGCCTACTGATGCAGAGGCTTCTGCTACACTGGTTGTCTTCATCTGCATTTGTTGGTGTGTATGAGATAGGAAAGCTATGTCATTTGCGAGGTCCAAACCGTCTAGTTGCATGCAAGTTGTCCATTGTATTCCGTGTTACCTCTCCGATGTCGAGGTTTTGATAATTCAGTCGACTAAGAAAAGAAAGAGGAAGGGTGAGAGTAAGCAGCCTTGTTTGACTTTAGTCCTAACTTGGATTGTATTTGATAGCTGTCCTCAATGAACGACTCTGCAATGTAGTTCGTCGTATGTTGACGATCTTCTCAAGTAAATCATAGTGTCGAGGGGACATTTATCATTTGGAATATGAGGAACGCTTCTCAACTCATTTATCCATTGAAAAATCAAATGTAAATATATGGACGTAGAAGTCTAGATATTTCTGAGATCAAAACGATTTGACCTGCACTCTAAACTTACATTCCACAGTTTATAAATCGCTGAAGGCAACTTCAAAAATACACATATATTACTAGACAAGTCAACTGGGAGCTAACGATGGCACTATTGAAGAAGCTTACCCGTAAGTTTTCGGCTCACCTTGAGCAATGAAACGTGTGCGTAGGACGTCTAATGGTTGAGTAACTACTGCTGCTAAAGAGCCCGCTCCACATCCGCACAGAAAGTTACCAATAGGTTTGTAGGTAATAGGTAAGCCAAATATTTTGTTATCTGAAATAAGGAGACTGTTGACTTCACGCAGCCACGAAAGAATCACTTCAAAAGTAAGAAACTGAACACTAGTGAACGTAACCGACTGCATTTGAGCAGGAACATGACCTTTCCAAAAAGCAATAGCACCCTCTTCCTTGCTTATGCACCTGACGGCTTGCATAAGACCTTGATACTTGCTCGTTCTGGAAACTTCGATTGGTTCCATTTGTAGCTACTCAGAATTTAGAAAAAACTAAGATGCCTACCTGAAAACGTATTTTAATTACGTCCAAAGGTTGTACAACTGCCCTAGCAACAAAACCACTGACAGAACCAGCAAGAAGGTACTCATTTTTCGATAAACCAGTTTCTCTATCCTGTACTTGCACCATCACTGAGATTTTTATATACTTGACATTTTCAACTGAGTTTACGGTGGCAACTGCGTTGATTGTTCAGCAACGCGTGACTCCTTGCAACCAAAAGTAGAAAAAAAACACTAGATACTGATAAAACATGTAAGGAAAGTTATGAATCTGTAGGCGCACTAACCCTGGAATGGATCACCAGATTATATAATGTGTAACTTCAGTGATTTAGGTTACAACAATCAGTCAGTCAGATACAACATAGGACCAGGCACATATGTGCATCGGTCCAAGTTACCATAACTCACTAGCACAACAAGATGAACACCGAATTCACAGCAGTTAATTCAGTGGTGGTAATATTTTAAAGAAATTTTTTGTATAAGGATATAACGCATAAGAAAGAATTAGTTCGTAGAAATAAAGGAATTCAGCAATTTTAACCTCATGGTTTAAGGGAAGACAAAGAATGTATAAACCTACGCCACTGTCATCGATTTTGAACCATGTTACCAAGAGTCTCCAACTATTGGTTACGATATTTAAATGGACCCCAAATAAATAGTCTGCATCTACCAACATGGATAAGATTAGAAGTTAGTGACTGTATGGGCTGATACCACGTTTTGGTTTGGCCGCCCCTAACTTTCTTCCAATCATCCCCAACACAAGTCAGCATTGCGCGTCGTGGTAATCAGTGTTCAGGCATACGCGACACGTGCCCTAATCATCCCAGTCGATGAAGATTTACAACCTCATCAACTGATTTACCATCATTCCATAATACCATGTGTCTAACCTTACTGTTACTTACCCGGACAGAGTATGAGCACTTGCAAATACTGTCATCATAACTTTAAAGCGCAGAACGATGAATTAGCGTTTAAGTACAAATTACCTACGTTGCTAGCGATAAAATCAACAAGACGTTTGAGTGGAATAGAACTTATTAAATATATCAACACTATCAATCAGTTATCCGCATAGAGCATTATACAAATGTGTTAGTCCAGGTTTTCACAACTCACATCAACGCAAAGAGAAAGGAAAATAGCAGCATGAGATGAGTCGAAATGAAATCAACCACTGTAAGAAAAACTAAACGTGAGAAATGTTATTCATAAAGAACAAATCGGATACGAGGATGAAAAGTGAGAAACAACACTAAACTGAATATATAAAAGAATACACTGATCAAACGTAACTGTCGCACTGTAACAATTCATGGGTCAAATCTTTAAGCAATTCGGAATGTCTACATTTTCCTAGAATTTTCTACAGCGGCTTCCCTGAAACGGGCGAAATTTTTCCCGCAATCGGGAGGTTGGGTCGAAACACAAATTGGGATTATTTCAAGAATTTCACGTGCCTAACAGGCTAATTTTACTTTTTTTAAGTCAATGTTCCGGCTTATCATATACCTGTCCAATCACGAAGCTTTACCGCCACGTGAGTCTCCTTGTACCCTGACGTATCTAAACGAAGAACCGTGAAAGTGAGATAATGAAGAAAACTCAATTATGATTTACGACAGGCATATGTTGATTGCGTTTAGTTGTCAGACGTTTCGATAAGTCTGTTCAATTTGTCCGAATATGGTATTTCATTTTCATAAAATAACAATTACGTCAAAAATGGTTCAAATGATACAAATGGTTGTGGACGGAATAGAAGAAGCTTTCGCTTAACAGGCTTCCGTGTCTAGTAGCAGGGGATCATGAATAACTACAGGCAAGAACCTAGGTATATTACTGATAAAAGAGGAAAAAGGGAATTAGTAAATCATAGTATGATGATATCCTTAGACCTTAAGAATAGATCAAGTTGCCTCTTAAAGGACTCCTGGGAAGTCGCTTGGACTAGCTCGGCCGGCAGCGAATTCCGGTAGTTGACAACTCTTAAGGAGTCGAGGTTGTGTCTACAATCCGTTTTTCTTTGTTGTGTCTCCAATTTCTGGGTGTTATCCCTTAGGTTGGTATTGGGACTAAGCTTAAGTAGTTGTTTAAGAAGATGTCCAGAAGTGTTAAGGATACTGTAAGCCATCAGATGGTCACCTCTAAGACGCCTATACTCTAATGTGTAGAGGTTCAGTGATTGGAGGCGCTCTTCATGAGGTTTAAATTTGAGTCCCCGAACTGACTTCGTGGCTCACCGTTGGATTCACTCCAGAGTGTCTTTATCCTATTGGAGTGAGGGGGAAAATATTGGGGACGGACAAAACTATTGAAGATTATATGGAAAGTTCTTCCGTCAAACTGGCCAAAAATATGCTTCAATGTTACCAGTGCAAGGTTTGCTAGAAAGGCATTTTTGTTCTTTATATGCTTGTATTGTCTCCACGCTCCATTGTTATCAGTTCATTTGTATTCTGCCCAACAGTGTTTTTTGCAGCTTAGCAGGCGAATAGTGTGGTTCCTGATTATTTTAGGTTGCTTGTAGCTTTTGGGGACCTTTCGAAGAACTGGCTGCTTTGTTGCACATAAGATCGTGTGCAGCAAGAAGTCCCAATGAACATCCACATCGAGTTGAGGGTGAACATCGCTATCCACCTGTTGTAGATAGTCCTATAGAGCTAAAACATTCAACCGTTTGAAATTCCGGCGCATGTTGTTGGTGGGATATCTTAGCTCAGTTTTGCTGACAAAACTGAAAGCTATAACGGCTTGATCGCTTTTCCCCAGGTGAGCCAGGACTGAGAGGTTGTCAACTAGGAATTCTTCGTTTGTAAATATACAGTCTAATCGCGACGGTGTCTGATTGTGTCTCCAAAGAGTTGCCGACCTCACATTTTTGTATAATCCCAAATCCTCAATGAGGTTGAAGAACCGAGTTTCGGTTGAGTTTTCACCCCAATAAACATATGTTCCACGAAATTGACTCGATGGAGATTGAAGTCCCCTAGAATCAGAATATGAGTGAAACCGAGACGCGTAAAGCGGTATAGTCTTTCCAGCATACGACTTTCATACTCGATGTCGGCAATGAGCTTCCTATATATGACTCCAACTAGGCACCTCGAAGTAGCAGACAATCTCACAGAGTACCATATGGATTCCTCGAGATTGTTAAACTCGAGGTTATGAACTTGGTGTACCTCCAAGCAAGATCGTATGCATACGGCTACTTCACCCTTAACTCCTGTTTATCTGTCGTTGTGAAACAAAGACATCCCAGACATTGCTAACTCCTGGTCCGAGAACTGAGAGGATATCCAAGATTCAGATATCCCTATCAGGTGAGCATTAGCAGCATTGCTAAGCTCACTCAGCTCATCCATTTTGTTTGGTAGACTCGCAGCGTTCATGTATAAGCAGTTTATGCTTTCGATTTGAACCTCGTGAGGTTCTTCCTGTTTGTCTGTGTGAGCCTTACGTGAATGGACAGGTGGCCTACCAATATAAGGTTTGCCGAGTTGGTAGGCGCCGTGCTTTACACGTTTTTTATAATCAAGACAGTCTACAAGTGGAACGATCGGCTCCGACTTGCCTTTGTGCTTGGTACTGGCTTCATATGGTCTGTCAGGGTGCATGTGGATTCCAGTTGGCAACCGACGTCTGTTGGTACGAAATTCTTCCAGAGTTGCAGCCGCCATATGGGAGGATGGAGAAGTTATCCTCATTAACCGGGGTCTGGAATCACCATCCTTCTTGGCTAGTCTCGTCACATGTTGAGTCAGTATGTTTTTGAGCCTCAAAGACTGTTTGATGAATTTTCATTCCCTAATATCATAGTTTGCTTGACTAGGGTCCGTGTTTTTCGGTACACCTTGCACAATTACATTTCTTCCGCGGGAAAACTCGCGAGATTCTTTAGGGATGTTCCGGATGAGATTGCGCTCAGAATACGGAATGTCGAGCAGTATTTTTACGTTTCCATTGGATGTCAGTAAATGATTAGCTAGCAGGGCATCCTCTACGTCGGTAGCATTCTTACACGAAGTCAAATCGTTATAAAGTTGAATCGAGTCAAAGTTAATCTAACAGCATGGTTAATATTGAGATATATTTGAATCTAATTGTATATGATGTTGTCGTCAATGATCTGAGGTAATTTCATGACCGACTTCCTAATATATAGGTTTTTTCGCATACACTTACATGAATTTATTCCTACCTGGACAATTAATAATCATGCAAACAGCACTTGTCCAGTAAGGAAATATCATCTTCCTGATAATTCCATATTTATAATAACTGATTGTGACTTGTACATATGCTATTTCATACATGCATTTGTAAGTCCTGTTAAAATACCTTTCCATATGCTCGTTGGTATATGTCTGCCCACTGAGTTATCTAGAACATTCTTGTATATTTCACTCCATATTATTCATCTACCCAATCCAAATACAAAATATTTTAGTTCACTCAAATGGTCTAGCTAACTTTTTCTAGAACCTAGAGACTATAACTTTTTCCAGTCGTGATTCTATGTGTGAGAAGAAAGCTGGGAATAGAATGAGCAAACAATCGTCATACTAAACAAATTAACTAAAAATCGCTAATCAACGTGGAATGATCAAACCACCTCAACTCTCCCCAGAGAGTTGAAGGGTCTTCACGTGGGACAGTTATGACCCCTAGTAATAAAAGCTTAAATGCCTAATAACCCATGACGTCGACACCCTTTATGGCAATCAGAACAACAATAAACATAAGGATATGGAGTGCTCAGACAATGTGAAACTGGTAAAATCACTGGGATATTAATAGAAGTGAAAGTGTGGCGGTAAATAAATCCCCAAATGATAATTCTTTAACTCTTTGATATTAAATGCCAACACACTTCTGATTTCCGATTTGATTAGGTTGATATACTTAGGGGTGTTATGTGTACAGGCGTTAACAAACTCCGAGTCCTTGTTGATCTTTTGTAGGATGTAGAAGTTTTATCAAGTCAGCCGGTGTCTTCATAGCTTCAGGGGTGAATCTTAATGGAACGATTGGGAAAAATATTTAATACTTCTATGGATCCCAAATATATTTTCTACATCGTAACTGATGCTTGGATTTTCCATTCTAGAAAGTGAGCTCAAATTCATATATAACTTTACACTATAAAGTAGCTGTGAGCTATCTCCGCGTTAAATATCGAATCTCTATTTTCTGAGTAGTCTCGTGTTCAGCTTTGTGGATTGTGTGGTTATTGTCCAATGCCACTACAGGTACGCTTCATATAGAAGGTGTTTCTGGTTAAAGCGCTGACAAACTCCGAATACCTGTGGCATCTTCATCAGCAATTAGATGAA